ATATATATATGTATATATATATGTATATATATATATCCCTCGGAATTAGGGTCGGCATTCGGCAATGCCGACCTAACTGCCTTATTTCTATGTTTTATGGTAAGTCCATTGTATTAAATTTCATTTGCTGACCTGATGCTGACCTCTAAAAGATTAAGGTTATCAAATAGTTCCGGACCTCAATTTTCCTAATCCCGAGGTTTATATATATTCCTATACTTTGATTATTTGTTTTGTAAAGAAATGTTCTTGAATTTGCTATATAATCTGTTGAATGCATAATACTATGTTTAAATTGATTTTTCTTCAATTGGTAGTTGGTCGAGTCAACAGTAATAATGCAAAAAATTTAGGTGTATTTTCCCTGAGATGTGTTAAATATGATGAAAAAGTTTATAAAACTTAATTAAATCACTGCGTTTTTTCTTGTAGTCAATGTTGTTAGATTCAGATTAACCTTTCTTCATATGATAGTTATCCAGTTTCAGGTATCAACTTGGTTGCACTCAATGCATTTGCATATTCTGCGCATTTTTAATAAATCTACATCACTTTAAAAGTAAGGTTTTTGTAATAAACAGCTAATTTGACATGTGGTCTTAACATATACACAAAATTGCTTCTTGAAAAAGTTAAATGTAATATAAATAAATGCTTAGGCAAGAATACCAAAATTACTATTTGCTCTTGATGCTGCTCTGATCTGTATAGTCCATTTTAAATTGCCTTATATGAAAACTTCTAATGCTCTTTCAGTGTTTGTTGTTAATAGTTTGAACTTACTCTTATTGTTAGTCATGTAATAATTAAAGTTTTGATTGTGTTTATCAAAGTGCATAATTTTACATTTATCAATATTGAAATCCATATTCTATTTATATTTCCACTAAACTATCATATCAATATCATTTTGTATAGCATCACAATCTATTAAAGAATTAACCGGTACAATAAGCTTGTTATCATTTGCAATTTATTTGAGTTATTTTTTGTTCTGGTAAATCGTTTATAAAAATCAAAAATAATAATGGACCTATTACCAATATTTGATGTTTTCCACTCACAACATTTTGCCACAATGTAGCCCAGGGCTACTCATTGTTGTATTTCAGACAAAAATGACCTAGTCCAATTTAAAAAATTGGATTTAATGGTGTGGGATTTTATTAGCATAATTTTAATAGCAAGCCTTTATGTGGAACATGATCAAATGTTTTTGAAAAATCAGAATGTAATATGTCAAGAGATTTTTCTTTGTCTATTCCACCTAATATCTAAATACTGTAAAAGATTTGTTGTACAACTTCTACCTTTTCTAAAACCATTTTGCAGGCTTGGTCGGGAAAAGCGAGAGCGATCGCTCTCGAATACTGACCACGGAAATTATATTTAGTTGCGGAAAACTGGCCAGGTTTTTTAGTTGTTTTAAGAACATTTAATTTTTCGTACGAAACAATAAATTTTGGTTTTATGGACAAACATGGAAACATAAAAAACTTGAATGTTCTCAAAACATCTTGGTGCGGAAGAATGAAAAGAATATTCGTGAACTCTAAAAATCCACCAAATTAACGAACAAACTGATTCTATTGGTTAAAAAAATACACTGACTAAGCCAAATAAAGTTCTAGAGTATTATGTTGAAATGTTGTAGAAATTGTTTTATTCATGATTTGTTACGTTTTGAGATTTCTAGCATGGATTGTTATAAGAATATATTATTAATTCTATCGCTCATTCTCGGAGCCACATCTGCATCACACATCTGCATAGCCGTAAATCTTATAAAGTATTATTTTCTAGGTTCACTAAATAGATATAAGTTTCTAAATATTGGTTCACTAAATCGAATTATTTTCAATTAAGTTGTTATTCTTAAAAACTCATTATACTTTTTTCGGCTTTATATACTAATTAAAATTAAAAAGCCCACTCACTAAACATGATTAGCGATGTTATGAAACAGTTTGGCTTCCTCGTCATAAAATTATTTTTAACTTTTTTAGTTGATTTATAAAAAAATTATAAAAGAGCCATGTTTCGAAAATATTTGTTCTAAATGTAATTTATTTTCCTTTAAGTTTTTTTGCGTTAAAAGATATTTTATTTTCCTAATTTTTTTTTTTTTTTTTGTAATTGTCTCTCATCAGTCCAATTAATTCGCATTTTTTTTTTTTTTTTTTTTTTAAATGTTCTCAAAACGACTAAAAAATCTGGCCAGCTTTTAGCAACTAAATATTATTTCCGTGGTCAGCAATCGAGAGCGATCGCTCCCACTTCCCGACCAAGCCTGTTTTGATGAATAATCAAAAGTTTAAGGAAGTTTCAATGATTGATTTGTCAGCTGTGATTGGTTTGTCAGCTATGATTGGTTATTAGATCTTGCAGAGAATTGAAGTTTAAAGTATTGAGCAATAGTTAAAAAGTTTAAGTTGTTTTCCTTTTTTGAAAAGAGGAGTTACATTTGTTTCTTTCTATCAAACCACTTGAAATTGACTTATTATAAATAAGATATAAGGGTTAAGTCATACTGTTTGCAGAGTGCTTCAATATGTACGAATGAACACAGTCAGTACCCATAGATTTTCTAATGTCTGTTATTAGTATATAATTTCCTACCAGTTTTCTAGCCAAATATATTTTTCTCCCAACATAGTTTAGGATCTAGTATTGAATTCTGTTAGTGTCTCCCAATGTTGAGATATGTAAACAGAATTAAAATAGTCATCCTAAGTGCATGCTATTTGTGCTTTATCAATGACAACGGTACCATCATATTTTTAACTGCTTTAATGTGGCTTTTAATTGTTTTATTTGCTATTTTTATATTTATACAAAACTTTTGGATAACTTTTTGCTTTATCAGCAATTGACTTCTCATAATTTTTAATTACATGCAGGGCTTGAATTAACAAAAAAAAATTTAATTACAATTTTTATTTTATTTTATGATAAAATCCTAACCTGCCACTTTACAGTAAGAGGGGTTGCATTAGTACAAAATATGTTTTTTTAACATCATATTTTTCATATTTAAATAATACAATATTACTTTGAGTAATTGTTTTTACTTAACATGATGCTTAAAAAAGTAAAAATGTAAATATTACAATATTTAAATTATTTTAAACAGTTATAAAAGCCTATTTAATTCTAATGTTTATGCTGATAATAAAACGTATTTAACTATTATTGTAAAAAGCTTTCTAAAAAAAAAAACAGTAAAACAGTACTATGAAGTTGTTTTATTGCTATTTTACACAGTTTATAACAATAAATAAATCTTGTTTAATATAAAACAAAGTAAATAAATAAAATTATTCTATTAGAATTAATGAAAACATTATCGTTATAAAACTTAATACCTTAAGTATTTTAAGTATTAAGTTTTATGACGATAATATTTTGAAGTATAAAACTAAAAATATTAGTTTTAAAGTTTTATGAATAATATTTTTATTAATTTTACTTTAAAAGTCTTTTGCATAAACATGCTCTATCTATATGCCAAATAAGTAAGATCAACTCAAAAATACAAATGAGTAAACTCAAAAAAATACTAAATTTATTTCTTTTTAACTTATTGCTTCTTGATCTAGCATACTATTAAAAATGCAAGTATAACTATTTTTTTCATTCAAAGGATTTTTAAGTTGATATTTTTATTCAATTTTTATGTTTAAATTGTTTCACAATAAAATAAAGTGAAAGAAAAAAAGTTAGGTTTGATAAGTAGAATTGTATTTCCACAAATCTAAGAATATGCCTAATTTTTTTTTTTTGAAAAAAAAAAATACTTTAAACAGAATTAAAATAATTTATTTTTTTAAATTTAAATTTTTTAAATTTAGTTTTTATTTTACTTTTTGTTTGCAATACAATGTTTCTACTTTTTAAACTATTTTTAAGAAACAAAGAAATAATGTCTTTAAAAAAAATATTTAACTGTTAAAAATGTTTACTATTTAAATATATCTTTCCTACTCACTTGGATTATCTTTGTTTTTTGTTTCATATTAATACTGTAGCTAGATCTGTGTTTTTTAAGTATGATCCTTGCTATGCCACTGAGAAAAAAAGTGTTTATTTATAAAAACACACATCAATTTTTAACTACTAATTTTAATTTAATTTTTAACTTTTCTGCAAACAACAATAGCATATTTTCTATACTCAAAACCAACAATATTATGAACACATTGTATACCACTACATTGTGTGAACCCAGTTGCTTTCAAACTGTACAAGCAACATTGTATATACAGTTTGTAAGCAATTAGAGGAAACTCCATTTAAAGTTTTTTTTTAATATAAAATCAGTCATACCTAAAATGTTTGTCAACACAATGCATTTATATTTGGCTGTTTGTATACCATTATCAATGTCAGAGTTCCTGCTTTTCACTATAAATACTATCTGAATTTTGTAAATTCTAAAACTAACTTTTAAATCTTTAGTTTATTCATTGTTTGTGCTTATTATTTTGTCATTATTGTTGCTAACATTATTATTGTTTGTAATTTTTATTATTTGTATATGTTTATGGTTATTATAATTTTCTAAATTTTACATACTGTTTGTCTAACTTTAATTTGTCTATCACCAACCTTGAAGCGTAAGAAGTTTTCAAAAATATGTTTGAATGTTTTGAGAAATATATTGACTGAAACTGATAAATAAATAAATAAGTGTAAAACTTAAATTATATAAAAAAAACTATAAGATAATGAATAAGGTTTGCAGACTGCAACCTTTAAAAGTAATAATATTTTAAATTTAAATGTTAAAGTAGTATTTTTATATAACATTTTAATATGTTTAAATATTATGTCAAAGACTGTATTAGAAGTATTATACTGTCAAAGAATGTAACTTAAATGAAATTTCTTGAAAAAGGCAGGAAAATCATTAAAATTCTAAGAGAGTTGACAGATTTGTATATCATCTTGGTCGTATTTTTATTTGAAGTCAAGTTTAAATATATTATCCATTTTTATAGGACAAGGAAAATAACAAACAAACTCCTAAAAAAGCTAAACCTGCACCTGATTTTTCAAAATTACACAAGCAATGGGACTCAAAACTACAAAAGGTAATGTTGCATAACTATAGAGTTATATGATTTTAGATGTTGTAATTTTGTAAATGAATGTTGCCTCTAATAATATTTTTATTTTTTATTTTTTAATTCTTTAACATTTATATCTTTACACCTGTCTGGTGTAGACAGGTTTTCCATAATTTATATATGACATTATGAAAGAGTTTAACAACTTTTAACAACCAGATCTTTTTCCTGGCATTAATCTGTTTTTCAGATCAGACTGAGTATTTTTTACTGCAAAACTGCCAATAAGAAGATTGCCATTCACATTTCACTTTGTAGAAGAAAAACAAGATACTTTGAATCAGAGTTTTCCTCCTCCTAGGTAAATTGCCTACACCAATAAAGACACAGGCGTGTCCATGGCATAGGTGAAACAATTGGCAGTGTTTCAAACACAAGATTGTCAAAACAACTTGAATTAGTTTTGGTAGATACGCTCATTAAATTATCCAATTAGGGCTTTGGTAAAACTTACAATAATGTCATCACACTAGTTACCCACTATTTGCAACACCAAGGTCAATCTCATAAGGTCAATCTCATTTATTTCCTAATGGTACACCAGGAAGAGATTGGTATAACCTTTTCATAAACCAGTGGAGTCATAGGTTGATCATCAGAGCTATAGGCAATATTTCATCACTCAGTCACATCTTGCATGCAAGAAATAGTAGCAAAGTACTTGAAAAGTTGAAAGATGCTGAGAGCGAAAAAGCGCCAAAGCAAAAAAATGTAAGCTTAGCTCTAATGGCAAACAGCAATTAGACCAAGCAATAAGTCCAACAAAAATATTAGCTGCAAACCAATTTAAGTGTAAAAAGTGCCGAAAAGTTTTAAGCAAAGCTTCAACAGTTCAAAATATGGAATGGTATGAGTGTGAAAATTCAAATTGTAAGGTTTGGCTATGTCAAAAATGCATACCAAAGTGATACGTAAAAGGCACTGAGTTTTATTGCACCAAAAAGTGCAGCACAACTAAAAACTCAACTCAACTTCTAGTACCTCTAAACGACTCAACATCATCACAAGAATAAAAAAGTTTATTTGATTGATTTTTTAATTGTTATTATTGATTGCTTTTTGTTTTTTAAATAAAGTTTTAATTACACATATATTTGAATATTTCATTCTCCCTGAATGTCAGTGTAGGATGGAATAAATTTTTTTTTTAATCAAAGTTTTATAAAAAACTTAAAAAAAATTATTTGATTTTTATATATTTAAATACTCTCTACAATATATTTAAATATTCTCTACAACTTTTAAAAAAAAAAAAATTAAAAATCTTTTTTCCATAAAAATAAATAATTAAAATCCTTAACTATTCTATTTGACCCCATTTTACTCTATTACTCATTTAGAAATAAGTAAGGAAAAATGTTTGGCGTAAGATTTTTAATTTACATCATAAATAAAAATTCAAAAAATCTCAAAATGCTACATCAGCACTTAATGCTGCTATGTTATATATAAAGACTATGTTGCTCTTTTGAAAAATCTTGTGGTAAAATTAAAAAAATACGAAGAAAAAAAAAAAGAAAAAGTAAGCTTTTTGAGGTTATTAATAGTATAACATGAATTACTTCATGCAACAAAATTGTCACTAAGAAATGAATTTAACTACGTCGTTGCCAAAAAAAATTTGCTGATATTTTTTAAAAATTCATTGAAGTTGCTGAGAAGTATTTGCCTGGTAAAAAACCATACTTCATTAGCGTGTAAAAATTTAGAAATATTAACTTTTTTTCGGTTTTCAATGCATAACTTATTACAAATTTTCTCAAATAAGCTAAAATTTTAATGAAATGTACTTTCTATTATTTCAAATAAAAATGCTAACCACAAAACCTGTAAAATTAAATGGTTAATTAAAATTTATGTTTTTTTGTTTTTTTTAATCTTTAGTTCAAAAATTTAGAAAAACTGAATTATTTATTTTTAAAAAGCTGAAGTTTTTACCAAACGAACTTACAAGAATTAACATTTTTCAATAAAATAGTTTCAATAAAACAGATAGCATTTGGTGGCATATTGATTTGTCTTTAAAACCACATCACAGCAACAAGACATCTAATCAACTAAATTAATAAAAAAAAAGGAGGAATCAAAGGAGTGTTATAGCAACATTTTTTAATCAAAGCAAATAAATAGTTTTTGTTGGTCGATTTTCTATAAATTAGTTGCTGGTTGATGAACTCCCAAAGATGCTTAATATGATTGGGATTTAGGTTCTATAAAAGCCATTCAAAAACTTTGGTTTTTCTGTGGTTTAAACCATTCTTTAGCAGATCTGGCACAATGCTTTAGGTCCTTATCTTGTTGTAAGATTTATTTCCTAGTCATTTTATACTTTGAATGTGTCAGCATAACATTCTTCATGATATCCAAGTAAACTAATTTGTCTATAATAACTTTTATTTGATTAATGGGACCCACATTGTCAGGGCTAAAACACCCTCAAACTATAATATTTTCTTCTCCATGTTTAACAGTAGGTATCTGATATTTTGGATTAGAGTCTGTCTCCTATTGGGCGTTGACATACCAAATTCTTTCACTATTTAGTAATATAAATTTGGATTCAACAAAAAAAAGACTTTCAACCAGTTATTAATTGTCCCACTTTTGCAAAAAGATGACTTTTTGTAAATTTTATTCAGGCTTTTAAATTTCTTGCAGATATCAGCAGTTTCTTACCTAGATAGTGGCCGTAAAGAATAATTTGTTGCAATTAATGTTTTGTTGTAAAAATACTACAGTTTGTGTCATAAAACTGATGCTTAATTAAATTAAGTTTGAGAGCAGTCTTAACGTAGATTATTAATAAGTAATTTTTGTTTCTTTTTTTTCTATAATCAAATAAGATTACTTGTGTTGACAGAAATCCTGTTAAAGTTACTATTTTACAGAATATTTGTATTAAAACTAGAATAAATCATAGCATTCTAAAGTTTTTGCAGTTCAAGTTTTTTAACTGCTAAAGAGTAACATGTTGTTGTATAGTAGTTACCCATGGTTGTGCAAAGTAATCCATTTTTTGGTGCATATAATTTTAAAATACATCGGTAAGGGAATATAACAAATCCTTTAACTTTATAATTTAAATGATCCTTAAATTTTAAATGGTATCTTTAAAAGATTTGCTTAAAGAACATTAAATTTTACCATCATAATAAAGATTACCATCAACAAGTAACCAACACATTAAGGTGTATTTTTATTTGCTAGGTTTTTTTATTTTTTTCGTTGTTCAAGTGGTATTAATTATTTTGTTTGCTGGAAGGTATCAATTTTTAAATAAGGAAGTTTCTAATTTTTATTTAATCAGCTTTCAATTTTTGTTTCAAAATTTTCAATAGTTTTTTTTTCAAATGTTAAAAATAGAGGTTACATGGATTTATCATTAAATGATTATAATAATAGTACAATTTATTGTACTATTGTTTGTAGTTAATTGCATTATTTTTAGTTTAAAAAAATATTAACTTATTACTATTAAATTCTTTATAAAATTTTTTATGTTTTAATTTAGGGGAAAGCAGTTACAAAGAAACCACTTACTGATGTAAGTTTATATTAATAAATTAATAAGTTTTGTTTTAAACTTTTAAAAATAAAATTACTGATAATGCAATATATTAATACATTTTGATGCAATATATTAATACATTTTTGTATTACATTTTATTACAAATTTACAATTTACATTTTTGATATTTGGACGCAAATGACTGTTTTTTAATTAGCTACTAATGGAAAATAAAAGATTAAATTGAACAAAAATATAATCGCTAATGAACAGTATCCCTAACTAAATTACAAATGAACAATATCCCTAACTAAAATTTGTTTTCATTCAATCAATTAGCTCAAAGTATGGAGTATTAATAACATGAATTAAGATATATCAAACTATGGAAGATTAATAACATGAATTTAGATGTATCAAAGTATGCAAGATTAACAACATAAGTTAAGATATATCAAACTATGGAAGATAATAATATGAATTAAGATATATCAAACTATGGAAGATTAATAACATGAATCAAAATATATCAAAGAATGGAAGAATAATAACATGAATTTAGTTAAAAGTTGAAGTTGTGGGTGTGAAAAGTATTAGAAAGTTTTACATTTTATTAATAGCATTTCTTATTACACTGTTAAAAAATTTGTTGAAGATTCAACAGAGAATTTTCATCAGCAAAGTGACAGCGCTTTCTCTATAAAAATTAATGGTTTCCGTATTTTATTTTTTCTGTTCAAATTAACAGAAAAATTCCATTAATTTAGCAAATAGACAACTCATTTTACAGAGTTTACACGAAAGTCAAAAATAAATGAATATAATTTATGTTGGTATAAAAATGTAATTCGACTATTAAGAAACTGCTTGTATTTTAAATGACATTTAAAATGCAAAACATTTAAGAAAATCTATTTTAATCATAAAGACCATATGCAAAACATGCTAAGTCTAAAATATATTTCTGTTGATGCACAACTATAAGTAGCTCAGTTTTTACTAGTTTTCTTAAATTCAATTTACTTGGACTTTTTCAGTGCGTTTTCCAGATGAACTCCTCATATGTTGATAAAATAATTATTATAGTAATAAAGTTGTAATAAATATAAACAAATTTTATTATATTATAGTAGTTATTATTATTATAATATTTATGAAAACAAATAATATTTTATTATGATAAATTGTACTATATTATAATAGTTATAATAAATATAAACAAAACATCTTTTGATCTATTGATGCTCTGTCCATTCGAGCAGTGCTACTTCGTTTACAAAACTTTAAAGCTTTTGGGTGAGGTCCTACATACTGTTTTTACCAGTTGTTTTTTTTATTAAATTTCCTTTTTTAGGATTCATTTTTGTGGTACATCTACATAATAATTATATCAGATTAATAAATCATTATTAACATTAAAATGAAAAAAAAACTAATGTTGAAAATATTTAAAAATTGTATGTAGAGCGAGCATGTAGAGCGTACAGTTGATAATCAGATATAATCAGGATGCAGTGATATAGAAGAAAGTGTAGGTTAGAAGTAGATGAAGTTATAGAATGCATTGCAGGTAAAATGAAAAAGCTATGGATTTTTATAGATTTTTTTATAAACAAGTTTGAAAGTACGTCATCACTAATGACCCTGATCATTGTTTTTTGTGTTTTGGCAAAAGAGGAGTATTTTTGTGGAGTAAATCCATGATTTCAACTGGCAGCTTTTCCAAGGAACTTTGAAAACATCTATCAAATTGTCTAGTATAATACTGGAAGATTTAGGTGTATGTACATTTAAAATTCAAGGTTAGGTTGAAACCGAAACCAAAGCATGAACTTGAGAAAAACCTTTAATAGTAGTATTTCATTTTAAAAGTTACAATCAAAACTAATCAATATGATTATATACAAATTATATACAAATACAAACAAATAATTAAATAATAATTTAACAATTATTAACATCAAAATTTCTATTCTACAGATAACTTTGTCAAAAACCACAATTTTAAATAATTTAAAAATAGATCAAATAACGAGAATAGTAATTAAGAGAGCTTTTTTAAAAAGACTGCACTGCAAAAGTAAACATAAAAATGCATCTAACATACTATTTTATTTAATATATACCTTCTTTCCATGTGTCTATCCTCCATGTGGTTTATTTTCCCTTGGGTAATTGCCATATAAAGGCCATATACCAAGGCCCACAATAACGAGTTTCGCTGACTAAAGAGCATCATAACCCCTTTGCAGACCAAGAGTAAGTGATTTTTAGAAGAATGAAAAATACTAGAGAGAAAATTAGAAGAAGTCGAGTTAGAAAATTGGCAGAGACAGCGGAAACTATTGCACTAGGTGTTAAAATATATTTATATGTAGTCGAAAAGTTGTTCCCATAAACTGTAGTTTTAAAGAGAGCACTATTAAACCAAACCAAATTTAATGTACTTCCGCATTAATTTAATTGCTTTGATATTTGAAGACAATAAAATGTAGCTTGATTGTCGCAGTAGCATAATTGTGGTCGAAAGAGACTTTTTTTTGCATTAAAAGTCTCTTTCGATTACAATATAATATATATATATATTATATTGTAGTCGAAATACAATATATATATATATATATATATATATATATATATATATATATATATATATATATATATATATATATATATATAGAGAGAGAGAGAGAGAGAGAGAGAGAGAGAGAGATTTATTAGAGAATTTGAGTTAGGAAGCAGGCATACACACACACACACACACACACACACACACACACACATATATTATAAGAAAGAAATAATCTCAAATAAATACTCTGTCAATCGCAAGTTCAATATAATGTTTAAATAAATTTGTAAATAAACTTGACTTGTTAGTAAATTATGTTTACTTATTTACAATGCTTTAAGATCCTTTTCTTATGAATTTAATTTTTTAAGGTTCATATTGCTTAGTGTTTCTTTTATATACTATTTTATATAAAAATGTAACACTAAATAATATGAACTTTAAAAAGTTCAATACCTAAGAAAAGGTTTTTATACCATTTAAGTCCTATATAATATAGGAAACTAATTTTCAGAAGTATCTATTTTTAATAAATAGCTATATCTATTTATAACAGCATCTTTAATCTAAATTAAAGAGAATTTTTTCGCAAATGCTTTACTAAAGTATACTAAAATATTGGGTTCCGTAATTTAAAAAACCATTACTTTAATAGTGAATAAGTTTTTCAAAAATCAATTTAAACATGTAGTTTAAAAAAATTTATTTAAATTTTGAAAATACATAATTTTTTTGAAAATATAAATTTTGTTATAAATAAAATTAGAATTAATTTAAACAGGTTTTTAATTTTTTTTTTTTTTTTTTGTTTTTTTGTGATATTTTTTCATTAAGTAAGGGTAAAATCACTAAAGGGCAAATGTTTTCAAACATTTAAACAAAGGCGATCTTTTTTTATTATTTCCAAAAGATGTCACTAATATTTCTAAGATACAACATGTTATCTATGATAAAAATAACATTGTTGTTGCAAATGATAAATAACATTATTTATAACTGCGTTACTTGGATTTGATTTACAATTTAAGCGGATAAAGAAGCTTGAAAATAAGTGAAGTTTGAACTGGATTTTATGAAGTGCAAAGTGATTGCGATTGAAGTGTATTTTATGAAGTGATTTTATTGGAATCTTCATTTTGACACCAAAGCGATTGAAGTGTATTTTATGAAGTGAAATATTATGTTCATAGTTTTGTCATTAACATGGATTTGTGAGTTTTATCATACTTCTCTTTAACGCGTTGCAACGCGTAAAATTAAAATATGATAAAATTTGGGTATAATGTGACTCTTCGTTCACATTTCCATGTTAGCCACAAAACTATTTGCATGATATTTCATAAAATTGGTGGTGCACTTCATAAAATAGAGTTCAAATTTTACTTATTTAGGGTTTGAGCTATTACTGAAAAATTTTCAGAATTTTTTTTTTGCTCATTGTTATAAGTTTAACGTCATGGCTCCCGGCCCTAAATGAGAAAAATGTTTCTTCTTAGATTTTTACATATATTCTTGATATTTATAAATGCGGTAGTGGTGTAGTGGTAGAGCGCTCGCTTCATAAACGAGTGGTTCCGAGTTCGATCCCCACCACGCCCCTGGTAGTACCGCGCTCAACTTGTTTCTTCGCGCAGCGGCCTTGTTCGTCAAGGTTCGTGTTTCAGAGTTATAGAGTTGAAAGAGGGTTATAGCCACAAATAAGTAGCCTCCTCGTCTGTAGTGGCCTTCTCGGCCTTGAGGAGGTGAATTAAAATTAAAAAAAAAAAAAAAAAAAAAATCTAAAATACTTTCTTTAGCCTTTTCAAATGAATGAGTAAATGAAATTAACTCATTCATTTGAAAGTAACTGTCAGAGTAAATGAATCTTTACTCTGGCAGTTTGAAAAAGGTCTTTTTCTCTAACTTGAGTTAATTTTTGTAGTTTTAAAAGAGTTTTTTTTATTCTTGGCCCGATTTGCCCCAAAATGGGAAAACAGGCTTTGTGTATTTTTACATTTTTACCTTATTGTCCTGAATGGGCGATTGGGCCAAGAACAATCAAAGTTCTGTAGAAGAAATTAGACCTAATATTTTTACCTATTTTCTTGTTATTTATAAATGTTAATGAATTTGTTTACCCTGACCGTTTGAAAAAACTCTATTTCGATATAATTCCGGAAAGTCCCGTTTCGATATTGTTCCTTTTTTTACAATTTCGATCTAATTCCGTTTTTTGAAATTTCGATACTATTCTTTTATTCACACTTTCGATATTGTTCCGGTAGGTTTTTTTTCAATATTATTCTCTTTTGAGCTGTTTCGAGATTATTCTGCTTTTAGGATTTTCGATACTAATCCTTTTTTAACAAATTTGAAATGTTTTCTTTTTCGATATTATTCCGAAAAGTCCCTTTTCGATATTATTCCTTTTTTCACAATTTCGAGGTTATTCTATTTTTCGGATTTTTGATACAATTACTTTTTTTACAATTTCGATGTTATTCTCTATTTCGATGTTATTCTGAAAATTCCGTTTTCGAGATTAATCAGTTTGGCTGTTTTAGATACTGTTACTGCTACCCTTTGAGGGTAGTAAAAAATTGCTAACCTCGTTTCTATGTTTTATGGTAACCCCTTTATGTCAAAATTTTTTTGCTACCTCAAACAGTTTGAAGTCGGCAATTTATTGTTGACCTCATTTTTTCTATTCTGATTGTCGTCTATAACACATCATGATTATACAGTACTTATATTTATTTAAAACTTTATTTATTTAGATGAAATCTTTTTAAAAACTAACCATGATGAACTACAATGTGTTGTATGTATGATGGAATTGTTTGAAGTCATTAATAGTTATAGAAATTTAATTCAAAAAAAGACAGCTAGTCCATGCATTAGTGAACTAGAGCCCAGGAGTGGATCCAGCATTTTTGAGTGTTTGATATAGCTAACATGAGGAAACTCCAAACATTTATATGTTTATATTTATGTCAAATAAGGATGCTTTGCAAAAAATTCCATCATTGTAGCCTGGGAACAAAAAATAGCCCAAAAATTTTGATAAAACTTTAAACTTGGTTGTTAAAAGTTTTAATAATGTGCCGCACTACAGAATCATAAAACTTTGAGATAAGAAAATCAGAAAAATATTTATATTTTGTATTTTGGTTAACAAATCCAGATTTAGACTCGGAATTGTATGATATTATGTCTGTTGCTAAAGCAAGAACTATACCAGTAAAGTTAGTTACCACTCTATGCAAGTGAAAATGTATAAGCTTTTTTTTAGTTCTGTTGTCTTATTTTTATGTTTGCAGTTAGTATAATAATAAATTATGGTATCATAATAATTATGATTATAACTGCAAATTGCAATAATATTGAGATTAATACAACAGAGGTAAAATGAACTTAAATACAATGTTAAGACACAACAATTAACTGTAATCTACAACCATTTAAAGACATGATGACTGAAAAAAAAAAAGACTATCAGATAACTTGGAATCAGAAAAAGGAACAATATAAATTATTTTATTAAGATAATATATATTTATAAATATATATATATATATATATATATATATATATATATATATATATATATATATATATATATATATATATATATATATATATTACTGCAATTAAATGCAGCAAATCTTTCATTGATAATTGTATTGAAACTTGTTTAAAAAATAACCGCAATCTTAATAAAAATTGTTTAAGAGCTTAAGGAATACCAGAGATTCATATAATTTAGGGCCACTAAAGTCAAGGAAGCTACTTTTTTTTATTAATTGTTATTGTTCCTCTTAGTTTAATTATTTTTTTTACTAGTTATAATTTCTCCTAATAACATTTTTTACTAATAATTTTTGTTTTGTAATTGCTTTTATTCCTCTTTCAAATCTATAACTCTGAAACAAGAACATTGCTAAACAAGAATATTGCTGAAATAAGTTTAGTCCAGTACTTCCAGTGATACGGATAGTTAGAACACTATTTATATGAACTACATCACCACAAATAGATCTGCTAAATAGTATTTGTAGGAATGGTTCAATTCAAGATTCAATTGTTAAAAATTTACTTTTAACAATTAAATCTTGATTTTAAAGTTTTATACTTTAGATTGATTTAAAGTTTTATACTTTAGATTGATTTAAAGTTTTATACTTTAGATTGATTTAGTGCTTGTACCAGATTATTACTCCTAAACTCAGGATTTGGTTGCAGCCATTTAATAAAGGCTTACTTCGACTTTATTAAAATCTCTATAACCTTTATTAAATTTAATATAAAAACATTTGTTAAAAACTCTAATTTTAAGAGGTGTTTTTTAGAGTCAGCCATTTCAACTTACATGTGCAGGAAAATATATTTCACCTAAAAGAGATAGCAGTTTTCAGGTTGATGAAAAGGCTAAAGAAAGTATTTTAGATTGCAAAGGTATTCAGGATAATCAGGTAAATTTGAGTTGTTGTTTTTTTAAACAATTATGAAATATTTTTCTGTAATGTAAAAGCTCATTTTACTAAAATTACAAGGTTTCCATGTTACTGGTACATGGTAGCCATACCACCTGCTGCTTCCTTCTGCTGCACAAAAAAGTTAATCTTTTCTCGATTGGTAATTTCTGACTTTTGTTAAATTCATGTACTTGTTAAGTAGGTTCTACTAATGCAAGATCTTAAAGAAACAAAAAAGTATGTATTGATTAGCTTTATTTAAGAGAGAAGAAATTTTTTTAGTCAAATTTAATCTGCTTCTTTTAAATTTTGTATAAACTACACGTCAACTATATCAAATTACAAGTAAGTAAATAGACATTAGCAATTTTTATCAATAATCTTTTTTTTTAATGGCTATATGTCAATGGTGCTGATCAGCTAATTGATTTTTTTTACTTCCTTTATTTTTAAAAAAAGTCTATATTAAAAGACATATGTTTGTATTGTATTTGTATTTATTAAACTAGTCTGCATTAAAAGACATATATTTTTATTTATTTTTTAAACAAGTCTCCATTAAAAGACATATTTGTATTTATTTTTTAAACAAGTCTTCATTAAAAGATATATGTTTGTATTTATCTTTTAAATAAGTCTACATTAAAAGACATATGTTTGTATTTATATTGTTAAAGATATAAATAATTAAAAGCAGAATAAATAATTTTTTTTCATTATTTTTCTTTATTTTGTGGGATCAATTAAATGATGCACATTTTTTTATATTTCATACATCCATCACAAATATATGCAATGGAAAAACAATTAACTAAATAAAAACTAAAAAAAAATTATTATCAAAAAGCAGTATTTAGTATGCAGGGGCATGGTGGCAATGGAATTTAAAACTTCTTGCTCACAAAGCATTCATGCACCACTACAGCATTTTCAAAAGATTGCACTCTTCAATAGTTTTTTCATAAACTCAGTTAAAAATTTTCATAAATTCAGTTAAAAACTGCAAGTAAAAAGGGCAAGTTACTAAGATAGAACCAGAAAATCAATGAATAATCTTTTTTACTATATACTAAAAATAATTGCACCCAAACTATTTACAAAATCATAAAAAATTTTTGTGGCAAATAGTGCGACTAACTTTTTCTAGTCATTTTATTAAAAGCAAACCAGATTGAAATATATATAAATATTAAAGAACTATTTTCCATAAAAACTTTTGGTAAAAATATTAAAATAAAGTTGGTTAGCCTATAAAAGATTAGCATAATAATTAGGGTCAGTAAAAATTCAAAGTCACGAATGCTGTGAGTTCCTCAATTATCGGCAAAAGCCATAAATCTTGCAATTTTTGCCGAATGTGCCTTACCATGAATTCTGAATTAGAAATTACAAAAATGTAATTTTTAAATTAAGTATTAATAAATCAATCATGCATTTACTCTATCCTTATATCACATGATATCTATGCCACAAATTTTGTGATGTCAGAAGTTGATAATCATAGTTATGAATCAGGCCAAGACATAAACTTTCAACTGCTTTTATGATTAAATACCTGGCATTAATAGTTGTCTTGTCACTGATGAAGTTGCTGACTACAATCAGTGGTTTTGCCACAAATTTTCTAAACATGCTGTGATTTCTGCAATTTTTTGCCGTGAATTTTTACTAACCTTAATAATAATGATAATAATAATAATATTAACAAAATTATAGTATTTCTTTTTTATTCTATTTCAATCAAATATTTAAACTGGTTCAAAACTGTTCAAAAATGATTATTTTCAAAATTGTTTGTTTAATTAGGTTGTTAAAAAGAATCGTGCAACTATTGCAGACTGCACAAGGTAAGTTTACTAATGTTTTTGAAATATTTTTTCAAATTGTTTTTTAATTTTTTTAATTTTAATTACTATTATTACTAGAAATATGTGACCAATAAAACAAAGTCATTGTTTTGAATCAACATTTGTATAAATGCGGTAGTGGTGTAGTGGTAGAGCGCTCGCTTCATAAACGAGTGGTTCCGAGTTTGATCCCCACCACGTCCCTGGTAGTACCGTGCTCAACTCTTTTCTCCGCGCAGCGGCCTTGTTCATCAAGGTTCGTGTTTCGGAGTTATAGAGTTGAGAGAGGGTTATAACGACAAATAAGTAGCCTCCTTGTCTGTAGTAGCCTTCTCGGCTTTGTGGAGGTGAATTAAATTTTTAAAAAAAAAAAATTTGGCAAATCATAAATAAATTTTTCATTAAGTGGGAAAAACAGTTTGGTTATTCATGTTGAAAATCTATTTTCATACATTTATGTCTTATAATAAATTATTTTAGTGGTAATATGGGGCCTGTACTTATTGAAGGTAAATCTAAGAAAATTTTTAACTTAATTACATTGTAATTAGGATGATCTAAAGAAATCATTCATATGTATAATTCCTTTATAAATCTTGGAGCTATAAATTGATGTAACATAGAATTTCAAAAAATTCTAAGAGTACTACAATATGGATCATGCCAGCAATCACATAGTGGTACTTTTAATGCATTTACAAAAGATGATTACTGATGAAACTTAAGCTCAGCATAGTACAAAAAGAGAAAGAAGGTTCATGAGAAGAAAAACATATTCGGCACTAGGTGATTTATTTTTTAAGTGAATAAATATTAGCTTTCTGCAGACATAAAGAATTTGGTGTTATGGGATCAAGTCATGAAGGTGACTTATTTAAATTCTTTAAGTTTCTTATAAAATATGAATAAATACCGCAACATCTCTTTACTTAGTCCGGATATTCAGAATGACCATATAAAGTCTTTGGCATCTGAAGTTAAAGCAAAAATATGTTTAAAAGTGGAGAATGCAAATTATTTTGCTGCTATATTAGATTCTACCATAGACATTATTTAAGAGACCAATTTTCTTAGTCCGTGCAATGTGGTTCATCCAGTAGAGATTCAGTTAAAAGATTTGTTCAGTTCCTAGAACTACCGTTGTAAAAATTTACCTTTTTATTAACTTAAAAAAAAAATTTTGCATAATAGTTTTTTCTTTAATTCACTCTGCAAAACTAATGATTAAGCCATGTTAACTACAGAGGTTGGCAGTTTTTTATTTGATATAAATTTTATGTAACGAATCAACTTTTTATAAGTAAAAGAATATTCTGGCTACCTCTGTAGTAAGATGCTTCAAATAATTTTTATGGGTGTGATCTATATAGAGAAACGGCTCAGAATATTCCTTTAAAAGTATTAGTACTTGTATAATGACTATACAAAGGAATCCTTATGTACACTTTTTTTTTTAAACATTTTCACTTCCAACAAGACTGCAAGCTACCACTATTAGAGTTTGAAGTTATTGGAAGAGAAATGATGAAGTTTATAAAGCAAGATAGCGATTACCAGAACTTATAAGATTGGAAATTATATGAATCAGAAAAACAAGACAAAGAGAGGGAATTCCAAAGAACTAATGTTTAAAGAAAAAAACTTGATGAATAAGAATTTTTTGAGCGCTTAAGAACCGTCACAGTATAAGGATGAGACCTAATTAAATGATAAGTAACACAAAAATGAATTTTAGTAGATGGCACAAGATACCCTGGGTCTTTAGAGCAGTGTCTATTATAGAGTTTATAGGAAAAAGAAAAAGAAGCAACTTTACGACAATGTGACAATGGTTAAAGGTTACCTACGAGTGCAGGTTCAACAGTGTTTACAATGCGTTTTTGCACCTTGTCCAACAGAGAAAGGGTTTCACTCAAAGATCCACTCCAGAAATGGCAACAATATTCCATACAAAGACATATTTGAGATTTATAAAGATAAAGAATAGCTATTTTTGCAATGGATTTGATATATTGTTTCTAAGAAAGATCAGAAGTAAGAGATAATCCTAAAAGGTTATGGGTTGACGACTCATCAAGTACATTACTGTTCCTAAACATGGGAAGATTTAGATTATTGCATTAAGGATTAACTGAAAAAAATTGAGATTTGTTGCAGGTAAAGTTCACCAGCCGCTGAGAGTCCCATGCTGCTGCAGAAGTGAGATCGTTTTCAAACTTAAATGCCCCCTCCAAGCAATTAGAAAGTGTTGGCTTCTTATCAAGACAATAAATGGTAGTATGATCAGTGAAAAATGCTACCTTAGATGTGAGAATTTCTGGGAGATCGTTAATGTAAATAAATAAGGCCAAGGTTAGAAACTTTAGGAACCCCTGAAGTTACAAGAAATAAAGAAGTCCTGTCCATCAAGGACAATTTTTGTTCTACGATTGGTAAGGGTGGATTCAATAATCTTAATAATGTTATCTGATACAGCATAAGAAGAGAGCTTATAAAGAAGATCAGCATGTCAAACTTTAACAAAGGCTTTAGAAATGTATAGAGTGATAGCCCTAGCCTCTCCACATCTATTTAATGCACAATAAAACTTATCGATTATTACTTTTAACAAATCAGCAGTAGAAGGAGAAGTAGAATCGGAAAAACATATTGATGATCAGAAAGTTATTAGATTCAAGATGATAGATCAAGTGTTTTTTAATTAAAGACTCAAAAATTTTGCTTATGATACTAAGATCACTCTCCAGAATTTTTAAAAATAGGGATAACAGATGCCACTTTCTGGCAAGCTGGAAAACAAGAATCTGATAAGCACTTGTTAAATAGTTTAGAATACAAGTATAGAATACAGCTCAGTAGAACACTTCTGCACGACTATAACAGGTATGTTGTCCAGACCGCAAGTTGCAGAAGAGTCTAAGCAGGAAATCACATTAGATACAGAAGCTGGAGTGATATGAATGTCAAGCAATGGATCAACCTGTTTGTCGGCTATATCAGATAAACACAGATATAAGCAAAACCCATGCAATGACTCAAGTATAATAAATGTAAATAATAATGTATAATAAATACATCTATAATGTATTTATTATACATTATTTTGTAACAATGTATAATAAATACATCTACATATAATAAATACACCTCGTAGATAAAGAAGGGGTTCAAAGCTAGTCAACAGGTAGAATTGGTTTACCTTTGCCTTTTTCTAGGAGGCCTTCTACATGATAGTTAGCTGATTGCATTTAATGTTTGCCAAAGATGAGTATTATTATCAAGACGCCATCTCTAAAAGAAATCTCACATAAAATAAATAAGTGAAGAAATTGCAATTTGTGAGAAAAATAACAAAATGAACTAACAGGAAAATTTGTAAAAAGAAAATTTCAATTTAGCAAAAATATTCACATAAACACATGCATTGTTAAAAGTTTACCAATTATGAAGTAGCATAAACTAATTAAGATGCTAGAGCCAATAAATGAAGCATTAATCCATTAAATCATCCAAACTTTTGATAAAATAAATTTTTTTATTTGAATCTAAATACAAAAAAAGTAAAAAATTGAGATCATTAAAACGATAAAAGAATATTTAAGTAAACTTATTCAAGTAACTAAAGGACTTTGTAAATTAATTTCAAAATTAAAATTTTTTTATACCTCAAATGTATTAACCAAACGAAGATATCTAATAAGTAGTAATTTTTTTATTAATTTTTTATTTGCAGAGGAGTTGTTCGAAGTTCTATTCCACGTCCATCATTTGGCTGTCGTGCTCCTACTTCACGTCAATCATTTAGTTGCCATGCAACAAAATTTCCTGTACATCCTAATAAATCTTCAGATAAAGATTTAAATGTTTTATCAGTAGAAAAAAATGCTTCTATTGTTAGGCATAAAAATAATACATCTATTCCACCTATAATGTCTTTTGAAGGTTCCTTTATTGATGAAAGCAACAATGTAAAAATAGGAAAGAAAAATGATGAAAAAGAAATAGAAAACAAAAATGTACTAGAAAATCGTTCAGTGAAAGCACAGCAGATGCAAGGTTTTGTTTAACTGCTTGACAAAGTTTAAACAATTTTTATTTTCTATAAAAATTTGATATATTTTAGAATAAATAGAATTTTTATATTTAAAATTATTTTTAGTTTTATTATTATAACATTTTTATATACCAAAAAATGTTTACTTAATAACAATTGTGCTATTTTTAAAGGTTTTATGGTTGATTTTAAAACTGATAATAATGCATTGAAAAGTATCCTCAGTGAAGAAGGGTTGCCTTTTTTTAATACTCCTGCAAAACGCAGTAGTCAGTTTGGGCCATTAAAAAAAAGAAGTTCAGAACGTGTTGCTCCATTTTCAAGACTTTCAAGTGTCAAAAACCCAGTTGGACGCGCAACACTAGCAGTTTCAAGGAGCAATGCACTTGGAATGTCACAGGTTTTTAATATAATCTATTTTATTTGATTGCAAAAGATTCAAAATGTGTTATGTCTTTTTTTTTATTTAGTTAAATAAACCACGTTGGTCAATTTTTTCACGAGATAGCTTTTCCACAAAGCCTGATTTGCTCACATGGCTTAAAGAGCTTGCTGAAAATCCAAGTTTCAAGAAATCTATTTGCAAAGAAGATTCTTTAGCCCAAAGCTCAACAGATCGGAATTTGTTATCTACTTCAGATATTATTGGATCAAAAACTAAATTTAATGCAACAGTTGTTGGTTATCAAGGAGGTCTTAATGAGATGCCAACCAATAAAAGTATTTTAAAAGATAATAATTTGGAAAAAATATCCAAGAACTCTTTAATTGACGATATACAGCATCTTAAAAAAGATTGTAGTAAGTTATCATCTGAAACGAAAGTTGATTTATTTGAATCCAAATTAAAAGCTAAAAATGAAAAACCTTTAGTAACCTTCAGTCATCACTCAAAGTTTGAAAGTCCTTCAATTATAAATAAGGGGTTGCATTATAAAACATCACCAGTTTCAAAATGTGCTAATTGTTTTGTTTTATCAAGCAACAATATTGATGCAGTAAATAGAATCGAGTGTAATCTAAAAAGTTCCTTTACATCCACTTCAAGTCCTTTAATTTCTATAAATTCAAAAAAAACAGCAAGCTTATCAACAATAAAAAAAGTGCATTGGGCTGATATTCAACTTACAAAAGAGGTACTTTGTTTTTGTTTAACAATTTGCCATGGTTTTTCTAATTTTTTTTTTTTTTTTGTTTATTAATTTGAAAAAGTTTATAATTTTTAATGAATGAAATATTTTAGGTTCCATCTGTATGCTCTCAGCCAACTTCTCACCAAATCCAGTTTGTAATGCCAGCTGAGCATCCTCTTGATAAAAGCCCGCCTAAAACCTTAGTTAATGATTATATTCAAAAGCTCAGCTCTACAAAAGTAAATCCATCTACATATGGTTCAAAAAATGAACATGTGATTAGTTGGTCTGATGTTTTACGCCAAGAGCTTCTCACTTCTCTAAATAATACTTCAGAAAACTGGGATCATCCTGGAAAAATAGATTCAAACCCTGTTTCAGCTGTATCTGATAATTTAACAAAAAATTTGATCAATTTTAATGATCCTCAATTTGATTTAAATGATGTATCTTCTTTTCATTCGCAAAATAATCTTCAAAGTACACTCATTACCACGCCGTTGGTAACAAATATGCCATCTACTTCTAAACATGATAGCCAGTTAATAGAACATCCTTCTAAAATGTCTTTAATAGACTTAGATGAAAGTTTCCGTAAAGATTGCACTTTTCCATTTTCCCATGATACACTAATAGATAAGGAAAAAGAGTCCAGGAATGTTAATTGTTTAGAAAATACTTTTGATTTAAAAACAAACAAACTGAATTCTTACTTGGAAGAAACTAGTGGTGATAACTTTATCTATATTAAGAAAGATGAGCAGACATCCGTAAAGCTCTCTGAGCAAGATATCGAAACATCATTAGAAAAATCATTGGTTGCTAAAAATAAGAAGAAAAGTAAACATCGGAATTCATATTTAGAAAAAATCTGTGGTGATTTTTTTACTTATATTAGCGACGATGAAAATCCCTTACCATCGATTATTGATGAAACCCAAACAGCATGCTCTTTAGACCATAAAGTTTCCAATTTAAATAGGAACAATGACTGTTTAAGCAAATTAAAAAGTCCAAATAGTCAATATAAAGATGAAAAAAAACTCTTACGACTTGATACATCATCAAGTTCAGCAAATTTTTTAATGAACAATCTAAATTCAACTGAATCATTAACAAATTTAGCTGACGCTAGTGAACATTTGCCAGCTAAATTAAATCAGGTATCTGCATCTTCGAATTTACCTGAGCTTGTTAATTCTTCAATAGATTCGTTTGTTCACAGTCAGGACTCGGTAACTAAATGTTCATTAGGAAAAGACAATGTTTTAATAGTCTCAACGAGTTCACCAAGTTCTTTAGTTATATGTTCCTCTGTAGCCAATATTCGCTCACCGAGTATGTTAGTGTTTCCACAGTCAACAATGCAATTTGGTAAAACTTCACTCTCGAGACTAACACAAGAACCGTTAAAAAGTAGTATACTACGTCCAAGCAAACTTTTAGAATCAAAAGAAATTAAAAATAATGACAGTAGTAATAGTGATATTAAAACTACTTCGACTTCAATTGTTAAAACAAATTTAGACAGTGAGTTACTTTTTCGATTTGCTTCTTTAACAACAAACCCTAATGACTGTCAAAATTTATCTAGTATGAAATTTATAGAGAATCAACAAAATATTTTGAAACCGAGTATTCTTTCTTCTAGCTTAAATCGATCAAACAACGATACATTAAAAACATTGAAAAATGTTGATAGCTTTAATAATTTTTCATCGAACTTGACTCATCCACTTTTCTCTCAAGCTCAATTTCCTGTTAATCCTTTATTTAAAAAAGATGCCACCATAATCAATTCCGATACTAGTTGCACTAATAACTTAATTTTGGGGTCTGAAAATTCAGTTCAATTTGAAAATAATGACGTCGATGATGACGAAGATTTATGCTTGGTATTTTCAAGACCGAATATTACTAATTTAACTAGTCATCGATTCCAACGCACCGCATTTTCTCCATCGCGTGACTGTTTGCCATCAGAAGAGTATAACAAATGCAAAAACAACTTGATTGGTGTATCAGAGGAAAATAGTGCTTTCCGACATATTGCGCCACGGTGCAATGTCTTTCCTAAAATTTTTTATAATAATATAGCTGCATCTAAACCATCAGAACAACTCAAACAGTTACAATATTTAATGGTGAATATGGAACTTCCGAATAAATATGATGCTATGTTAGATGCTGAAGTTTCAGTATGTAGCAAGTTTGTGGAAATAAATCAAATGTTTATTAAAAGCGAAATGTTAATACGTCATGGGGCTCTTGATCCAGTTAGTCAACTGTTGACTTTTGGCGATGGAAAGGTAAAAGATCTTTTAATGCAAAAGAATCACATTTTTGTTTTTGAGTTGTAAATGCAGAAATACATAGAATTAATTATCTATTATTTATTATATTTGTTTTTATAGCTCATGTTTCTATCAAATTTGCATGATATGCATTTTATAAATAGTTACATTTATAAATGGTTTGTAAAAATAATATCAAAATTAACCATAAAAATATCAAACATTCAAAAAAAAAACCAGATGTTTTTTTTTTTTAAATTTTTAAATTATATAAACTAATTTAAGAATAACTTATATGAACAGAAATAATTTACAAATATATATACATGTATAAATATATTTATATATATATATATATATATATATATATATATATATATATATATATATATATATATATATATATATATATATATATATATATATATAATTTTTATTTTTTTGTAGTTTAACTTTATTAAATATAATAAAAATATTTTGAAAAAGTATATATTAAATCGCAATACAAGAGAAAAAAAGGATGCTTAACATAGGGGCCATCCATAAAGTACGTACGCGGATATGAGGGGATGGGGGGTTTTTTAAAAGCGTACGAACGCGTTCAGGGGAGGGAAGGGGTGTTAAAGACATTGAGTACGTACGCGGTTTGACTCCCCTGAGCTTGATTGTATTTTTTTTTAAAAAAAACATTGAGTTTCACGTGTTTAACAAATCAGAATTGTATTTTTTTTTCTGGCTTCAGTCACAATTTTTTTTTTATTTCTTTATAAATAATGAGGAGAGAAAAAAAAATTCGAGTTAACTTTAAAAAAAAATAATACGTACGTACGCGGAGGAATTTATTTTTAAACTAATAGTAATAAAATAATTTTCTTTTTTATAGATAAATCTATAAAAAAGAAAATTATTTTATTTGCTATTTAAAAGATGTCGGGGTTTAAAGTTTTGCATGGTATTTTTTTGTTGTTGTTTTTCTTTATTAAATTTCTTGAGTTAATTACTTTTATTCAAATAATAAAAGTTATGACTTATTTTTATCCAAGTATTCAAAGAAAGAAAAAGAAATTTTGGTTAATTAAAATTATAACTTATATTTTAATAATTGCATTTTTTATTTTCTTTCATTCAGCACTTTGTTCCCATCAATGTTTACGCTTAATTAAATCTACGCTTCACTGAAATCTGTGTGAACTTAAAGTTGTTGCAGAAAAGTAAAACAATAGTCGATTCTGCTTGTATTGCTCTAAAGAAGTTGTAACTTAGAATTTAGTCGACAAATTTTTTATATTTATATTAAATATTTATTTTAAGTATATATATATATATATATATATATATATATATATATATATATATATATATATATATATATATATATATATATATATATATATATATATATATATATATATATATATATATATATATATGTGTGTGTATATGTATATATGTATTTGTGCATGTATATATGTATATATAAAATAAAAAAACAATTCAAAAATATATTACAATGTTTGCAAAAGTCTTTATAAGCATGGTAATGTTTTTAGTTAAACTTACTACATGTTCAAAGAAGAACAATGACTTGACCCTTTGCAATCAAAATCATTATGTATGTTTTTTTTTATTTAGCAGGATTTGTTGTTTGCCCACTCTTCATCTTTCCTTCATTCGACCTATTATAGATAGTTCTACTATAAACTTTTGTTTTGTGGTCATTCCACGGAAAACATCTTTATTTTTATCGTAACTTTTTTTTTCGCTATTGTTTTGGGCGTGCCCTAGCAAGTTCCGCTACCTGTTTTAAGCGATTGAAAAGAGATGCCTTTTTGTTAAGACAGGAGTATAAAGTTGAGTCATCAGTACCTACTTCAATTGTAAGGTCATGAAGATCATTAATCTAGATAAGAAAAAAAAGTGGCCGAAGGATAAAACCTTGAGGTACCCCAGAAATTACTGGAAATAAAGAAGAGTGTTGGCCTTTGAGGATGACTTTAATAAAGCAGTTAGAAAGAAACAATTTGATAATCTCAAGAACTTTCCCAGATACACCATATGAAACAAGCTTATAGAGAAAATCAGCATGCCAAACTTTGATAAAAGCTTTAGATATGTCAAGAGCAATAGCTCTAGCCTCTCCGCCTCCATCTAATGCACGATAAAATCAGTCACAGTAGTTAGTAAGCAAGTCGTAGAATGAGAGGATCGAAAATTGTATTGATTGTCTAACAGTAAGTTATATGACTCAAGATAGGATGTGAAAAATTTGTTGATCAAAGACTGAAAAAGCTTGCTAATAACAGAAAGACGACTGATCAGACGATAATTGGAGGGGTCAGAATGTTCACCTGATTTTTTAAAAATTGGAACAACAGATGCTATTTTTTCAGCAGTAGAAAAACAAGATACAGTCAAGCATTTATTCAATAGTTAAGAGATTATAGAGAGTTCTGGAGAACTGTTTTGTAAGACTGTGACAGGAATGTTGTCTGGACCACAGGCCGTAGAAGAGTTTAAGTGGGATATGACTTTAGCAACGGTAGCTGGAGTGATTTGAATGTCTAAAAATGGGTAAACTTGTTAAATTGGAATAATGTAAACTCCCAGGACTTCAAACTGGCACTTATTCGAATTTCCCGCTTATTTGAAGCAATTTTCACTTCCCGTGAAATTTTCTTAACAAATTCATGCAAATATCTATAAAAAATTAAGCAAAAATATCAAATAATCAATCAAAGATAAATATCTTGCTTTTAATGATTGATTTAGTTGAAAAGAAAAGTTTAGTGTTCCTCAAAACACTTTAACTTACTGGATTAAGAAGTATTAAGAAGACATAATCATTAAGTGTCAGTCTATTTAGAGCTAAGAGACAAAAATTAAGTTTTGGAAAGCATGACTCCGTTGAATAGTTTTTTGATAAATTGTAAAGCAATGGCGAAACTATGGGCCCGCAACAGCGAGAGGGCCTAGGCAAAAGGTAGCCCATTTTCAAGCCTGAAATATATTTCTATTTGACTCTATTAAAGGTTATGCACTGAAAAAATGTGATCTTTTATGGTTTGTTTATTATTGAAATTTAATTTTACATATTTTAATAAAGTTTAGTAAATGATCGATCTCTATCTTTTTTATTATATTTATATTTCAAAGTTTTAAAAAAAATTTTTAGTCAGTCATTGCTTATAGTTTTCACATTTAGTTAAACTTTCGAATGTGATAAAAAATTCGAATGAAAATTCCACAAAGATGTTTATAAAACTTTTGTTTCTTGTTAATTATACTAATAATAAGATTATTATTAGACCTACTATTTTTTTAAATTATATATTTAAAAGTTTTAAATATAATTTAAAAAAATAGTAGGCCTAATTATAATTTTAGGGGTGGGAGTTAAGGTTAGTTTTAGTCTAAGTAAAAATACTTAACTAAATTTTTAGCCTAACTAAAATTAGTCAACTAACCTTTTAGTTAACTAAAATTACCCGACTAAACTAAAATTAGTCAACTAACCTTTTAGTTAACTAAAATTACCCGACTAACTTTTTAGTTAACTAAAATTACTCGACTAACTTTTTAGTTAACTAAAATTACTCGACTAACTTTCTAGCTATCCAAAATTACGAAAATTAATCTTTTAGCTAACTAAAATTACCCGAGTAACTTTCTAGCTAACTAAAATTACCGGACTAACTTTTTAGCTAACTAAAATTACGCAACTAATCTTTTAGTTAATCAAAATTACCTGACTAATTATTTAGTCTAACTAAAATTAGTCGACTAACTTTTTAGTTAACTTAAGTTAGTCGACTAATTATTGAGTGTATGAAATTGAGCATGGAATGTACAAATAATGCTCTTTAATCAGTTAAATCAAATTTGGTACGCTTATTGAACGTTTAATTTATATTTTTTATGTGCTGCGTCCTATAGGCAGTGTGCAATAATAATCGCACATCAAAAATAATCTTCCCTGCCAAGGCTGTACTGACACTTGTGGACACTTTCCCAGGTTTACAACATTCTGTCGGTAACGTAGAAAATTAGAGACTCGGTCGGTTAAAACTGAAATTTGGCTTTTAAATTTAAAAAAAAAAACCTACTTTAGTGTGATTTTTATGGTAAAAAAGCTTTTTTTCATTTGCACCCCTTTACCCCCCCCCTCCCCCTCTACGTCTTCTTTGTTCAGTACAGCCCTGACCCCTGCCATATTGTAGAAATGGATTCAATTTCTTATTTTCACAATAAATCTACGATTCCCCCTTTTCATCCCATCAAATATCAACCTCTCCTAACAATTGATGACCACCCCAAATACAAAAAAAAAAAAAAATAGAAAATTGAAAAATACAGTAAAAAAAAAAATTTAGAAACAATGCAATAGAAACATTTGGCATTCTAGTTCTTCCAAATACAGAGGATATAAAAATATTGTGTTCACTAAAAAATTATAAATGGGCATTGAATTCCCTTCCTTTATTAACCCTCTCCAAACCTATTCTAATGTTAACGTAACTGCCACCATAAAAGCAATACGCAATATACGAACATTTATTGTTGCGTCTTCTCTCCCGATTATTATAACCCAGTTAGGCAGGCAAAAGCATTTACATAAACCCAAAAGGTAATCGTTCAATAAGTTATTATGAATATATTTATTGCTTTCAGAGTATAGTTGTTCGTCGTTTGGCGATACTTACAAAATTTAAAAGGAAGATTGGTATTTGCATTTTAGAATGCAATTTCCGCAATATAAGTTGTTGAATAGTGTATAAAATTTATTAAACAATACTTAACTATTGAATAATGAAAACATTTTATAAAGTAACTGCGGTCGCTTTTAAAACCAGGAAATTGTTTACGATATTTTAATTACTTGAAAAATGCAATACGTAGTTTTTAAGCACTTCAAAATACATGAAAAACCGGGTCAAAACAATTATCAATTAAAATTCAATTCTCTAACGCATTCTCATTTTTTATTTTTTTTTTCGTACTTTTCAAAGAATTGAAAACTTTTATAATTTGGATCCAAAAAAGTGGCACATAATAAAAACGAATAATTGTAATATAGGTAGCTTACAGGGCCGACGCAAGTAGGTAACACGTGGAGAACGCCGTTATAATTTTAGCTGACTAAAAAAAGGAAAAAAAAATCCTTATTTTTTTAAATTTACGAAGTGACTGTTCTAAAAATCTACATTCGCCGACTTACTTAACTAAAAGAGTCAAATTAGCTTACTAAATGAGCTAAAAGTTTATTGATGGGATGTCACACACTAAACCAACCATTCCATCCCCTCACCCCTTTGCGCTGGCCTTGGTAGCTTATTTAATTCTAAAGATATTTGTGTTTTACCATGTTTACTTTTTAGATTTTTTATGAAATATTTTCTTGAAGTATCTTGTTAAACCTTTGACACTGAAAACTGAAAGAAAATTATTTTGATATTTTTTTTATTTTTGCGGTATTATGTGGTAAAATGATTATGCATTAGCAAACTTATAGAAAAATTCTAATAGAAATGATATCATGAACCCAAATTACTTATATTATATATTTATAAACTTCTTTAGTTGGACTACAAAATTAGTCGGTTAATTTTAGTTAAATTTAGTAATTAATTTTAGTAAAAAATTTAGTTTAACTAATTTTAGTTAGACTAAAAAGTTAGTCAGTGGCCGTATTCTCATCTCTCCGTTAACGCTTAACGGAGCATTTGTCAAAAAGTTCTTTTTAACTACATTAATAAAAAAAATTCTTTAAAAAAATAATTTTTTAAATAAAATTGTTTTATTTTAGTCTTAGTTTTATTTAAACAATTTAAATAAAGTTTTTGTCATTTCTTTACTTAGAAATGTTGTAATGAAATTTTTGACAAACGCTCCGTTAAGCTTAACGGAGAGATGAGAATACGGCTGCAGGTAGTTTTAGTTAACTAAAAGATTAGTCGGGTAATTTTAGTTAACTAAAAAATTAGTCGACTATTTTAAGTTAACTAAAAAGTTAGTCGACTAATTTAAGTTAGAATAAAAAGTTAGTCGGGTAATTTTAGTTAACTAAAAAGTTAGTCGACTAATTTTAGTTACGGTTTTTTTAGTTTAGTTTAGTTACAATTTTTAGTTTTGGTCACAACGCTATTTAAAACTTAGATTTAAAGATAAAAAAATTGTGCTAATGATGGCTAACAAACCTAAAAGTAAAGCAGCTAAACGACGGAAGAAAAAAATTTTTGAAAAGAAATATAAAAAATTATGTAAAATTGACTCATTTTTGTTACCGGTACAGAC